GTCAAGAAATACCTACAAAAAGCTTTGTTTTAAGATTCAAATTAATTTTTTAAGTCCAAGGATCAAACAAGTATATAACTCCCAACAGTTATGCAAAGTTTGAATCAAAACTGTGATTTCCTAGCGAAAATATAAGCGTTTTAATACGGTCTTACTTTACAAAGAAATGTATGGGGCCGCCATGATTGTGCCCCCGTCAGGAGCATAAAGATGGCGGACCGTAACTACGAGCATCGAATTGAGCTCAAAACTAATGATTTTGCTTTAACTTTACAAACTATATCATTGTAAACATTTAAATTGATGCTGAGACTATAATTGTTTTAAGATTCATAGACTTTTCGAGTATTTTTGGCGTGTATCAAGTCGCGTGGCAGTATTACGTAACATATCTTTGAACGCTAATAACTCAACGAATAAACAGCAAAAAAAGTTTAAACATTCAGAGCGAACTTCTATCATGCTCTTCAAGATATTTCATTACCACAATGTTGTGTGTCTGTGATTTTAGAATTTTGTTTCGACTGATGACGTCACGTGAAAGTCGAGAATTACTGAACTTCGAAGATCATGGTACATTGTGGTCTTGCTTCATTATCATATCAAACAATTCCTTGACATTCGCACGGGCTACCTGTGTTTTTTGTGGGGTTCCTTATTTTTAAGGATGGGAGGGGACTAGGACAAAATTATAATGGCCGACATGTTGAAAAGCAATTTCTCTGCAAATTCTGTAAGTTTTAGCCATTTTAAAGCACTTGAAAATGTGGAAAAAATTTGAAAAAAACTTTCTAACGTACTTCCTTATAAGGTAAGATTACCATATATGGTCAGCAAAAGTTTGGCAAACGAATGAATGTTTCTCTGAGGCAATTGTTTGATATGCAAAGAACACCATATTTGGCTATATAAACAAAAAGATCATCTAGACCACAATGCAATTTTTGATGCTATCTTAAGGCCGATTTAGACGGTGCAACTTTTGCCTACAACCATCGCATGCAACATGTCTAAGTCATCCTTACGACAAGGCTACAACTGTCGTAGGGTTATCAAACAATTAATTTTTATCTCAACGACAGTTGTAGCCATGTTGTAAGGATGACTTACGCTGGTTTCATGCGTTGGTTGTAGTTGTACCGTCTTCCGGCCTTTGGAGATTCCTCAATTTTGGAACTAAAGTAACTCTTACATAATAATTATAAAGNCCTTCACCCAACCATCTAGATCTTTTCATTGTCTCATCTTTACGGCTTTGATTTGATGCCCATTTTTATCATGGACAAAAAGAAGCACGAAGTTGAGTTGCTAATTAGTCCTTGAAGTCCATGTTGTTGTTGTTGTTGTTGTTGTTGTTGTTGTTGTTGTTGTTGTTGTTGTTGTTGTTGTTGTTGTTGTTGTTGTTGTTGTTGTTGTTGTTTTCTGGTTTCAAACTTCAGCGATATTTCGTTTCAAGTTGCATCATCTTTGTTTCTCTTTTATGGTCCCCTAAAGGCTTGTATTCACTAGACATACGCAGAAGCATAGCTATAAGCACAGGCATACAACATGTTCTCACTATGACATAAGCACAATAATAAGCTTAAAAAATGAGTTTACAATTGGCATAAGCATAAGATATTTTCTTTATTGCTATGCTTGTGGCTATGCTTATGCGCTAGTAAAAACAGTCCAATAGGTTTTCACAGTTTTTTCTCTTTATGTCTATGCTCATTTTTATCCCTAAGCTTAGTCTAGTCTAGTCTAATTCTTAAATGTATCTTCTATTCCAGGAGTTTTGTTCAGCCGCTGATAAAGTGTCGACGAGTATTCCAAGCTTTGAACTTCCTCGCTATTCCAGAGCTGGTACAAGCAGCAGACGCCCTTCTCGCTCCAGTCCGACTCGGTATTTGCCGTCCAGCCCAGCCCTTCTCGCTCGTGTCGTCCGCTCTGTCTGCTACTCAAGCAAGTGAAGAAATCTTCTCGGTGGAACCTTTGCCTTTGAAAGCAGCTGCAACGTCGACTAATGAAGGGGAAACCAGCAGCCATGAAAGACCCACTGGCCATCGACATCGCGGGCAACGACATAGACGACGTCAAGCGCGTTTAGCTGGACACGACCATGCACCCCAGGGGGGAGGGGGTGGTGGATCTAATGTAGCAGGAGCGAGTGTTGATAGTGAAATGGTCGAGGTATGTATTTCTTATGGGGTAAAAACACGCATAATGTTATGGAGAGAGAGACAACATCCTCCATTGTAAACTTGCTGTGACGTCATTCAATAGGGCAATTGATTTGGTGACATGATTGAATGGATTGATGGAATGAGTAACGAAATAATAGATTTATCAATAGTCAACTTTAGATATTTTGGTTCGATGACTATGTACAAAAGAACGCACACGAGGCTCCGGGGAAACAATGRAKAAYMTTGATTTATTCTTTTATTTCCCCGGAGCCTCGTCTGCAATTCTTTTGTGCATGGTCACTGAACCAAAATATCTAAAGTCGACTATTGAATGATTGATTGACTGACTGCATACTTCATGTCGAATTTTATGCCTTCCCATGATGGTCTTCGGGCGTGCATTTCTCGTTGATGTGTAATTTTGTTTAGCTCTAAGTTTCATTGTATTTACTAGGTGTCTTGTTGGATAATGTTTTAGATTCGTGTCACATGATTTTGAGAAGTTATGATTTTTAAAAGCATAGGTCGTAGAAGTCCTAAATTTGCATAGTCGGACGGGAAGCAGTTAATAACGTCACATTTCATACAGGTCGTTGAGTGTGCAGACTCAGAAATGCAAGAAGAACGAGAGGAGGTTGGAGAAGAGGAAATAGACAATGGTGTCCATGGTAACGAGTCTGACATGGACCTAGACCTCCTGGCAGAGAGTGAAAGCGATAGTGACGACAGTAACGTTGGCGAAGTAGAAAGCACTGTGCGGCGTATTCGTGTACCCGGTTCAGTTGTTGGCTCCGATAGTGCGAGCCTCGGTGAGCACGGAGAGTTCTACTCTGAAGAGGAGTCTTCGACAGGAGAGGATGACGAGGAAGAAGAAGAAGAAGAAGGAGATGAAAGGGAAAGGGATGAGAATGAGGCCTCGCAACCAGAGGTAGCTGACAACACCAGCCGAAATACTTCAGGTAAAAGATTCGTTCTGGTCACAATATGAAAATATTCACGATAACGGTGTAAACTAGCGGTAAACTAGTGTGTGCTGTGTCGGTGTTTCTAAAGAAAAAGTTGTGCAAAAAGATAAATTTAGCACCGTAAAAAAGTAGGTGAAACAACTTACTGACGTTTCGGACGTTAACGCTTCGTCGGAGTTAATCCTTCGTCCGATGAAGGATTTACGTCCGAATCACAGTCAATTGTTTAAACAACTTTTTTTACGGTGTTAAATTTATCTTTCTGCACAACTGTTCACGATAAAGTTAATTATAGCGAAAGTCGACAAAACTATTATAAATGATGGAAAGTTGCAGTGCCCGGAGTAAAGTTCTTTTCAAGCCCTACAAATCCTTGTATTTCTAGTCCATGCATTTCTTAGTAACACGCTGTCGACTTATCCGTATATTATGAACAATGATAGTGATGTATCTATCTCGGAGATACAGGGACTGTTGATTGTTGGCTGAGGAAGATTGGACATTGTGAATTTGGGGTGGGTTGTGTGAAGTCTGAATTTACTGCTCCGGGTAAATTCTTATCCACCTGATAAGATCCATGTAAGCAATTAATGCACGAATTCTAATCAAACAATCTTATTTTTCTCTCGACAGCCACCGAACCCCGTACCACCCCCCATGCGATGCAGTGGGCCATACGTACCAACCAACCACGCAGCACCGCAAGCACTGGTCTGGCCAGCGGACATTCTCTTGCAGGCTCAGGTTTTATATACGTGGATTCAGCTACCATCAGG